TATATATATATATATATATATATATATATCAGTGATAGAAATTAGAGTATTTAAGATAATTATAATTAAGTAATTCATCGAGTCTAGAAGAGACCTCAACAGAATGAAGAAAGCACTAGACGGCTGACGGCCTATAATTGGGACTCATCAGCAGTGCGCATCCACTACCGAGAATTGAAACCCGGAAAGTTAGGGTTTTCAAGCAAACATCATACTAACTGTTCCAACGGGCTTCGGGGACGAAGAGATTGCAAATCAAACTCACTATATCGCCGCTCGCTCACATATTCCGTGGTGGAACTCTTACTAAGTTCTCCCTAACCATGCGACTGTGCCTCCTGGAGCCTTGACTACTTTCACCAAGCCGCTCACTCTAGAGCATTAGAAGCCGGTTCAAGCATGGTATACACAGATAGAAATTATTAGGAGGATTTGATAATTATATTTAAGTAATTCATCGAGTCTGATAGAAACCTCAACAGAATACAGAAAGCACTGGACGGCCGTTTCGGCCTATAATTGGGACTCATCAGCAGTGCGCATCCACTACCGAGAATTGAAACCCAGAAAGTTACGTTATCAGGAAAACGTCATACCAACTGTTCCAAAGGGTTTTACACATAATAACACAAACAAGAACGCTATTATAAGAACAGTGCTCGATGTAAAATATAAAAAATATATAAACAGAGCCAATATGAGAAATATATATATGTAAATTAAAACGATTCTAATTTACATTTTGCCTTTGCGCGACTTAAAGATTCAAGTGAATTCCCCCGTTAGTTATACGGTGGCCACACGATCTCCAAGCGGTTCAAGGGAATAGTTACTCAATTATATATTTCAATTATATATTTCCAAATATAGAATTGAGTATTTTGAATCACCTGAAGTTTGTAAAACATAGTGCTCCATAGTATGGGAATATGTATATTTATATATACAATTCGATCGAGCACTTTAGAGGGAAAGCGCGAATTTGTAAACAGTGACTGCTACTGCTGATAATGCAAGGCTCTTCTATGAATCGAGCACTTTGAGTCACTGTCGGAAGCAGATAGCTTAGGAGAAAAATCTCCGACTGATACCAAATCAGCCGATGTTTCGATCTTGGCTTAGGCTATCGGATGTCTAGCCACACTGATGAGCTCTGTTACAACGAAACTATATTGATATCATTAGTGGTCAGTGTATATATATATATATATATATAAATTTCCAAGAGGATAGAATCCAGGTAGAACTCAATGTTCAGGACAGTGTAAGAATATAATATAAAAGGCTCAAACATTAATATTCCATATCTCTAATTTATTACATTGGAATCGTAATCAAGATCCAATTCATCGCACCTACCAAATTCAAAAAGAAATTGGAAAATATAACTCCGGGTATAAAAAACAAAATTTTAGTGAGAGTGTAGGAGTGGGAAACAAGTGTGAGAAGGAAATGTCTGAAAGCTCTAGAGAGGGGGTGTAATAGAAGAAAGAAGAACAGGGAGGACTAAAGTTGAAGGGGTGGGGATTAAAATTTAACAAAGAGAAGTTTTAAAGAGAGGAGTTAAATAACTTTCTCATCGCCGTGAAGTGTCTTCCCACTGTCTTTTCCACAAATATTTTCATGACTTATTCTGATGAGCTTCTTTCCTTAGTGTCCCAATTTCCCCCTTTCCCCCTATTATCCTTTTCCTCACTTCTCTCTCACTCTCTGTAACCTCATGCATTTTAGGGGCATTATCGCCTTGATTAACGAAAAATGATTATATATATATATATATATATATATATATATATATATAGATAGATAGATAGATAGATAGATACATATAATCCCAAATATATTTGGTGGGTGTGCGGGTGACCTAGCGGATGTAGGTGTGCAGAAAACTGAATTTGAAGACTGAATTCAAATTCAGGCTCTTGCTTTTGTGTTCGGTTTACGTTATTGTCCTTTTAAAAGAAACAAACTAAACACTCACTCACTCACTCACTCACTCACTCACTCACTCACTCACTCACAATAACGGTTCTCTGTCAAAAGAAAGTAGGGCAGAGTACCTTCGTTAGCCTTGTTAGGGCTACCAGTCTCGGAGAAAGGAAACTCTGAATACAAAATCTGTCAAGAAGGCAACGGTAAATTACTCCGCTATCTTTCCTAAGGCGCCAGTCATGACGTGCCATTTGCAGATATTAAAGAAATTGAAGCTGTGAGAGTCATGGTCACAGAAGCTACCAAGGAACAGGGTTTTAATACAGGGCGTTCCAAAAGTCACCAAGTGTTGGAAAGTTTAAAAACTTTTTTCGTTTATTAACTTTCTTTTAGTTTTCTATCGGGTATTTCATAAATGAGATTGGAAATTAATCCTGTAAAAATACACGACTGAAAAACGAATACAGGTATTAAGATCTTTCTACCAAATGCAAAGATCAATAATTCAAACTCAACGAACATATGGTCGCCATTATGGCGTGAGAGATTTTCCCGTAAGCGACCTTACACGTTCAGTTCGGAACGAAGGAGTATTTGATCGAGTAAAGGATAGTATCGAAGAAGATCCGAGCGCATCAACTCGAATGCGGCCTCGACAGGTTCGGAAAAAAAATTAACGAATTTTTTAAATACATCAATCTGTTTTTGTAAAATCAAGATGGAGGAACAGATTATAAAACAAAGAGCCACAATCCAGCTTCTCATGCAAATTTTGGAGAAACGTTTGCGGCAAAAATTGTCCGCCATGTTCCACGTATCTGACAATCATTGAGTTCTTCCGCTGCAACCATCCTAACGGAAAAAAAGGTTTAACAAGCCTGAGACTCTCTAGCATCTGAAGAACAACATCCAGGTAGACATCAAAACATTAAAGGTTAAAATACTGAGAGCTGTGATGGAAAATGTCTTAAAAAGGGGAAGTTCGTGCGAAGCTGAAAATGGACGCCACTTAAAAGATGTAATCTTTCTCAACTAGTGTAAACTTATTTCCCATATCTACGCTATATAATACTAGCCTTACGGCCATATCACATTGAAAGATCGGTTCCCGTACGATTACCGAAGTTAAGCAACATAAAAACCTGGTCAGTATCTAGATGGCTGACCGCTTGGGAATATCAGGTTATGTAAGCTTGGATGTGCGGGTCGTGTAATGGATAATGGTTCAGAATTGTTAATCGGAGAACCGAGTTCAAATTCCAGCTGGGTTCGTTATATTCAGAGATCCATCGCGCTTCCTAACTACCTTAGGAAGGTATGAATCCATCACTTCTTTTCAGATAAAAATGTTAACTAGTACGACTTGTATCACTAAAGCATTTTTATCTAAAAAATCCACCTCTTTCCTCCCCAGTTATGGGTTAAATAGTAAGACTTGTATCACTGAACCATTATTATCTAAAAAAAATCTTACTATCTAAAATTATTTTCTGGTTTTAAATAACCTATAAAGGGAAGATGTCAAAAACGACCTCAGGTTCGTCGTTAACTGGGGCAAAAGATGGCTTGTTAATTTTAACGCCCCCAAAACTAATCTTCTCTGCATTAATCATCTAAGAGATCACTCTCTGTCTTCTATCACTATGGCTGATGGTAACCTCCAGGAAAGTGACTCATTGTGCCTTCTTAGGCTAACGTTTTCAGCTGACATGAAGAGGAAAGATTATATTGAATCTGTTGCTAGGTCAAATGCTAAGAAAGTTGGTTCACTGTGTCGTGCTAGACAAATTTTCTCCCTAGAATCTATCTTACATATAAGTCCATCATTCGTCCATGCTTAGAATATTGCTGCCACATATGGTCTGGTGCCCCTGCTATTTACCTTGATAAAATCCCAAGAAGAATCAGTAATTTTATTGGTCCAGGTGTGATTGCTCGGTTTCAGTCACTTTCTCACCGCCGTAAGGTTGACTGTCTGTGACTTTTTCTATAAATATTTTCATGCTAATTGTTCGGATGAGCTCTTCACTGTGGTACCTAGATTTTATGAATTTAAGCGCAGTACTAGACTGCCATCAAGATCTCGTTAATTGACAGTTGAGCTGGCGAGATGTAGCCGTGAATTCTATGCTAACAGTTTCTTTTCTCGCACTTCTCGCTGATAGAACTCCCTTCCAGTTACGGGCTTTCCAACCAACTTTAATCTGCAAAAATTTAAATGTAATATCAATCGCTATCTACTTTTATCCTGATTATTCTTTTCTTTTCCCTCTCATTACTAATGTTTCTGTTCTTAATTCTTCCATACCCTGTAACCCCTTGTGTCTTAGCGATTTTACTGTCTTGCATGGAGTGATACTGACTAAAAAATTATTTCGCTGACCATTCTCCAAAGACAAGTACCTTAGATTAGTCTAAGAGAAGTCTACCAGTGTGGAAGGGAATCAGTATACGAGACATGGCTTGTGAGATGGTCTTTTAGGTACAGCATAAGGTTACAAGTATGAGGCGATAAATGTAGCAAGAACGAAAGAAAGATGAAAGATTGAAAAGAAGATGAAAAAGAGAGAAAGAACAAGAAAGAAAGAAAGAAAGAAAGAAAGAAAGAAAGAAAGAAGGGAAATGATAAGGTGAGAGAAGAAAGAACAAACGGAGAGAAAAAATGGATTTGAGAAAAAAAAAAGAAAGCAGAAAGAATGAAAAGACAGAAAAAAAAGGAAAGAAACTACTGAAGAAGGAAAAAGTGAGAAAGAACGAAAGAAAGATAAAAGATTGAAAAGAAGATGAAAAAGAGAGAAAGAAAGAAAAAAAGAAAGAAAGAAGGGAAAATGAAAAGGTGAGTAAGAACCAAGGGTAGAAAGAAAAAAGAGGAAACAAACGAGGCAAAGAACAGGAGAAAAATACGGAAGACAGAAAGAATGAAGAAAGAAAAGGAGTAGGAAAAAGAAAGAAAGAAAGAAAGAAAGAAAGAAATAACGGATGCAAGGAAAAAGTAAGAGAAAGAACTAAAAGAAAGAAAAACAGAAAAAAAGAAAGCAAAGACTGAAGAAAGAAAAAGTGAGAAAAAAAAACCGAAAGGAATAAAAAGATTTAAAAGAAGATAGACAAGAGAGGAGAAAAACAGGAAAAAAAAAAAAAAAAAAAAATGAAAGATAGTAAAAAAGAAAGAAAGAAGGAAAAATGAAAAAGTAAGAACCAAGGGAAGAAAGAAAGAACGAAAAGAAGAAAGAAACGAGACAAAGAACATGATATAAAAAGGAAGAGAGAAAAACGAGGAAAGAAAGAAATAAGGAAAAAAGAAAGAACGGAGGGTGGGGTAAAAGAAAGAGACAGAACGAAAAGAAAGAAAGGGAAAAGAATAAAAGAAAGACACTTGAAGTAAGAAAGGAATAACAAAATAAAGAAAGGGAAAGAGATAGAGTGAAACGAAAGAAAGAAAAATGGTGGAAAGAAAAAGTGAAAAAAGAAGAAAAACAAAGAGAGAAAAGGAAAAAGAAAATTAGATTTAGGTGTTTGAAATGACCCGATTACACAACCATAGAAATTCCAGAAATTTCTTGACTGAAGCAGAAGCACTTCGCTCATAAGGGGTCAAAAAGATTTACACCTTCACCCTACCTACCTACCTACCTACCTACCTACCTACCTCCCTATCTTTTATCCATACAAACCTTCCCTTCCCTTTCCTTCCTTTCACTTTTCTTTTCTACTTTTCCACCCCCGACTTTTTACGTTTATTCCTCATCAGTAAAACTTCTCTTTAGATAACGCATTTCAAGTTTCCAGTTTTAACATCGGTCAACTCTTTGCTACTTAATCCATCCTCCCGATGCCATGTCTTGACTTTCTCTTACACATTGCTATAATCCAACGCAAATGAAGCGAGACTGTCTGCGAGAAAGACGAACGATTGCATTACAAATTCCGACATCTATCCATTTCGTTCTTTTTTTTTTTTTTTTTTTTTCTTTCTTTCTTTCTTTCTTTCTTTCTTTCTTTCTTTCTTTCTTTCTTATCGGCTTGTTTTTTTTCGGGGCTTCTTACATCAATTGCATTATGAATTTCTCCCTATTTATTTTCTCCATTCTTTTTTTCTTTCCATTGTTTATAATTCTATTTTCTTTCTTTCTTTATCTTTCCTCTATTCCCCTCCTTGTTAGGTCTTTCTTTCTTTCTTTCTTTCTTTCTTTCTTTCTTTCTTTCTTTCTTTCTTTCTTTTGTCTTGATCGGAGCTGCAGACGTCAATTGCGTTAGAAATTCCTTCCACACATGCTTTCTTCTTTAACTTTAATTTCCTTCTTTTTTCTTTATCTTTATCTCCTAATTTATTTCCTTTTTATTCTTTCTTTCTTTAAGTTTCTCCATTTGTACTATTTCAATCTATCTTTTTTCTTTCTTTTGTTCTTTTCGGAGCTGCAATAACGTCTTTCAATTCATTCCTTTTTTTTCATTCTTTCTTTTTCATTCGAGATGGGTTTGTTTTTTTCTTTGCGAAATTATCCTGCCATTCCATAGTTCTTTTCTTTCTTGCCATTTTCTCTTCGTTCTTTCTTTTCTTTTTCTTCTCCTTCTCTAATTTTCTTTCTTTCTTTCTTTCTTTCTTTCTTTCTTTCTTTCTTTCTTTCTTTCTTTCTTTCTTTCTTTACCATATATTTTTCCTTTTTCCCTTCGTCTATCGTCTAATCTTCCTTCCTTCCTTCCTTCCTTCCTTCCTTCCTTCCTTCCTTCCTTCCTTCCTTCCTTTGTCTGCCTCTCTCTTTTAAAATTTCACAGCTTCAGTGCTCTCGCGTAACTCATACTCTAAAGTTTCTTGTTTCTTCCATTTTAATACTTTCCATTTTTTCTTCCTTATGGCGAAATTTTTTTTTCTCGACGGGGTTAAAATGAAATTAGTGAATGGGGTTTGATGGCGTGTAGGAAATGGCGAAGGTCACACATTACTTCACCCCTAACCACATCGACTGACATTTTTTGGTGGGTGGGGAGGGTACGGGTGATTTATATTCAGAGTTGGAGGCGGAGAAGATATATCTGAGGGTTAATCACTTGAACGGGGGAAAAAAGGGGGTCCGTTCAATCGCATCTTTGTAATTCGAACGACGCCCACTCCACCCGAATATAAACCAGTAGAAAAATCGGTCCCCAACTCAAAGAGAAGGGAGCATTCATCTTCTTTTGTGTACCGTTCCTCTTCGGGACATGGCTCTCTGCAACTTCCGCTCCCTTACAGCTCTAAGCAACCTTTGACTCCTTACCATCTCTCTTTGTCCCCACTCAGACATATGCTCGTTTCGTAGATTATTCGCTTATTCCCTCCACCCCTCCTTCTTTCAGTATATCCTATGACTTTTTTATTTGTTTTTTACGGTTTATCAACCATTTGCAGGTTATTGAAAGTCAGTAAATATTTTTGAATTGTAAGAATATTTTGGAGATAATAATGATTTACTGATACAAGTCTGACTAATTAACCCATAGCTGGTGGGGAGAAGAAGAGATGGATTCATACCTTGCCCAAGGGTATTTACGCGTATGTGAATATAACAAACCCGATTGGAATTGAAACTCGGCTCTCCGATTTCAAATTGCAAGCCGTTATCCATTTCACCACCCGCATATCCAAGCTTACATAACCTGATATTCCCAAGCGGTCATCCATCTACGTACAGACCAGGCTCGACGTTGCTTAACTTCGGTGATCTGACGAGAACCGGTGCTTCAGCGTGACATGGCCGTAAGTCCAACTTTGATCTTTAGAAATTGAAATGCAATGTCAATCGTTATCTTCTGTTTTCTTAACTTCTGTTCTTTTATTGTTATTGCACCTTAATATATTTCTTATGTTCTTTTACACTCAGTAACCCCCTGAATCTTAGTGGCTTTGTTGCCTTTTTGGGGGTTAAATGATTAAGAAATATATATTATTGTTTAACAAAATCGGTTATAAAGAATCAAGAGATACAGAGGGAAAGAGAAAGAAATAGAGAAAAAGAGATAAATATTTATTTTTGATTATCTCCCCTTTCAAGCAAGGTGATGATGTCACCAAGACGCAAGGGGGTTACTGGAGTGAAAGTGAATGCGAAGACTTTAGTAAGGAGAAAGGAAAATAAAAGAACAGAATTTAGGAAGACAGAATATGGCGATTAACGTTGCATTTAAAAGACGGAAGCAAGAAATTGGAAAAGCGTTTCACAAGTGAGAAGTGAGAGAAAAGAAACTATTAGAATAGAACTTGAGGTTACACCTATCTATTGCAACTGTAAAATGATGAGACCTAGCAGCCAATCTAGTAGAACGCTTAAATTCCCGCTGTCGATATAAGAAGGAGGCGAGCTCATTAGAACAACTGCCATGGAAATAGTTATAGAACCACAAAGGGAAGTCACATCATGGCGGAGAGAAAGTAAAACTGAAGTCGAGATGCTAGGTCAGGACCGATAGAATTACTGATTAATCGTTGCTTTCATTTCATGCTAGTAGTATTAGCTGAATTCTTATATTAGTGAGATAGCTTGCTAAATATATTGATAAATGTGACATCCGTAGGCTTTCTTGTCACTTTTACTAAATTATCAGAAAGAAAAAAAGAAGAGATTTGAAACTTCTGCGGCCATAGCCAATCATGGGAAAAGGCTTCAGGAGTAAACTCTGAGGAAAAATCCGGAGCTGGATGCCCTAAGACAGTCCGATGTTATGTTTAACTTCATTCTGACAACACCTGCTACAAACGCCGGTGCCAAGCTGTATTGGCCTCTGGACAGCCTCGGTGGCGTAGAGAAGAGAGACGTACTGCATGGGCAACTCCCAATTTCTCATAAAACCCCTGTCCAGGGAGCAGATCGATGCTCTCTCAAGACTGGCGGATACCACACTACATTGTTTTAAACCCTCTTCCAAGTTGTCAGGATAATCGAAAAATTACTGTATTATTATTATTGTTGTTGTTTTTGTAGTAGACGTAGTAGTAGTAGTAGTAGTAGTAGTTCTTCTTCTTCTTCTTCTTGTAAAGTAGTTTTCACAGTGGAGGCTTGTAAAAGGGTCCGACGTACAAAACGTTAGGAACTTGAAAATAATAGTTAATGACGCAGCAATCTAGTTGTGATGGTTGATACTTCAATGTCCGACATCGACTGACTCACTCAACTCCACTGAGCTCAACTGGCGACCGCTACTACTACTACTACTTATTATGTGTGGGAGAGTCTATTACAATAGAATAGGTAATGTTGTAGTATAACACTTCTTCTTCTTCTTCTTCTTCTTCTTCTTCCAGCTTTGGGTGGAGAAGGCGACGGAAATATTTTTCGCATAGATGGAACTCATCAGCCCAGGAGGGCAGAGTAAAGGAGAACTCTGATTCGAAACATCCGTGGCCATAACCAATCAGGAGAAAGGCTTTGGGAGTAAACACTGAGGACAAATCCAGAGCCGGAGTCCCTAAGACAGTCCGATGTTATATTCAACTTCGTTCTGGCAACTTTCGCGACGACGCCGGTGCCAAGCTGTATTGGTCACTGTCTTTCCCTTGGACAACATCTGTGGCTTGGAGAAGGGATACGTGTTGTATGGGCAACCGCCGGTCTCTCATAAAACTGTGTCCAGGCCTGCACCCTGGAGAGGACACTCCAGTGTAGCCCCACCGTGACAGAAAAACAACAGTTTTACTGATGCGAGGATTCCTTGTTTACGGGGAACTGGTCAGCGGCAAGACGGCACGAGGGGGAATCTTTGGTTCAAGGACGCCTGCAAAAAGAACATGATGGCGATGGTAATCGAGAGGGGGTAAGATATCGTGAACAATCGCTTACGCTGTAGACGCGATTTTCACCGAGGACTGAAGCGAGAAGAGACTAAACGGGGGCTTGCCGCCTAGACGAAGCATGCTCAGCATAAAGAAAACAACACGGTGACATCGGGGGGAGAGTTTCTTCATATGCATTCGTTGCAATCGAAACTGTTATCTGGACCTGTATAGCCAAAACAGATTGATTCTGTGTTACCATCAGCAGCAGCTGAAGCATAACATTTTGGGCGCAGATACATGGTTCCTCGAGACCGACGGGTGCCATACAATAAGCTGGTTAATTCACGTCTTTTTCTCTAATTGAACTAAGCAACAAGGTTTCTTGAACTGTGAATCCTGTTTGCCATGTGTCACTCACGGACGAATTGAGTCTTCCTAAGGAAGAAGACTAGATTTAAAGCACAAGGTTCATTAACTAAACGACTGTACTCTTTCATTAATAGTCTTGGCAGATATGGTAGGAGATGACGTCATATTAGTAGCAGGAGTAGTGATACTGTGATTGTGATATTTAAAGTCAGTGACATGAAAAGTAACAAGCTTTTCTCATCATTATCATCCTCATCATCCTCATCATACCCTTGATTTTTGTAATCGTAAGTGGGGGAGATCCGATTGCAGAAGTCACACTATATCTCCTCCCCAACGGTCTATCAACGGCAGCCATCAGCAATTCTGGTATACCTGTTCATTGTTTGACATTGTCCGACCAGTTTTTGAGTTGGCGTCCTCTCCTACACCCAACTTCAACGATTTGGTAAAAGAATGGCTAAAACAATGGCCGGTATCTAAGGGCAAAAACGTTCATTTCGCTTTAGATTTAAAAATTAATTAAACGATTATCGATTTACGTAGAATCATTGGTTATTAAGGAACTGTTACTTCTTAACTCACTACAGACATTATCTATCTATCTATCTATCTATCTATCTATCTATCTATCTAAGCCTGTTTATTCTTTCTTTCTTTCTATCTATCTATCTATCTATCTATCTATCTATCTATCTATCTATCTATCTATCATTTTCACTCGCTGTTTTCCATTTTCTTCTTTTATTTTCTCTCTTTCGTCTAACGCCATATCTATCTATCTATCTATCTATCTATCTATCTATCTATCTATCTATCTATCTATCTATCTATCATTTTCACTCGCTGTTTTCCATTTTCTTCTTTTATTTTCTCTCTTTCGTCTAACGCCACCATTCCTCTGTCACTTTACCTTTCTTTCTCTTCTTTGCCGCATATGGTTTGAATTTAACGACATCAAGTCTTGTCATCTGATTACCTCCCTTGAAGCCTGACAAGGTCTTAATTAAGTCGAATTAAACCCGGGCTTAATTTATTTATTTGCATCCCACCCAAGAGTGACATAACCCCTGCCCACCAGAATTTTTCCCGACAGGTCACTCTCTTGGCCTATCCTCCGTACAATATCAACCACCCCAACAAGCCAACCCATTTATTTTTATTGTCACCTCTGTCTCACCTCCCATTTTATTTAATTTTTTTTTGTTTATGTCCCACGAGCCACAAATATTTCGAAGTCTATCTCATTCATCTCATCTAAAAGACCTACAGCGATGCGCCTGGGTTTTTCAGACGCGGCTCATCTGATAAATACGTTCTTTCTGGGTTTTTCGCTTCGTCATCTTTATTTCACATTCCGGTTTTTAGTCTTTCTTTTTGTTTTATAAACTTAAGTTTTCCTTAACTCTTTCATTCGATTTTGACTTTTTATTTCTCTTTAACTGGTATCCAGTTTCTTTCCCTTTTACCCTTCCATACACTTCGACATTTTTTTTCTTCACTCTTACTGTCCTTTAGTTTTTTGCTCCTATGATCCTTGTAACTCTTACTCCCTTTCTTGCTTTCTGTCTTTCCTTTCCTCTCTACGTTCCTTCCAATAACATACTTTACTAATGATCTGATTACTATGATTATTATACTTTCGAGCATTCGTTTTTTTTTATTTCTTTCCGTTTTTCTTTTCTTTTCTTTTTGCCGACTTTTCTTTTCCCATTTCCCAAGTTTTTAAAACTACTTGCTTTCATTTCTTAATTTTTGTTTGTTTGTTTGTTTCTTTCTTTCTTTCTTTGTATTGCTTAAAATTCTAATTTTATTTTCTTTTGTCCTTGCTTTCTTAGCATTGTTTATAATTCAACTTTTCTTTCTTTCTTTCTTTCTTTCTTTCTTTCTTTCTTTCTTTACAATGTATATTCCTTTTTTCTTTACAGTGTTTATAATTCTTTTTTCTTTCCTTCTTTACATTGTTTATAATTCTAATGTTTCTTTCTTTCTTTCTAATTTTACTTTTTTCGTTCCTTTCTTTCTTTTTCTTTACATTGTTTATAATTCTACTTTTCCTTCCTTCTTTCTTTAGATTGTTTATAATTCAACTTTTCTTTCTTTCTTTTTCCCCTTTTCCTTTGGTCTTAATAATTCTACTTTTTTCTTTCGGTATTTACATTGTTTGTAATTCTAATTCCTTTCTTTCTTTCTTTCTTTCTTTACATTGTTTATAATACAATTTTCATTCATTCATTTTTCTTTACATTGCTTATAATTCTAATTTTCTTTCTTCCTTTCTTTCTTTAGATTGTTTACAATTCTAATTTTCATTCCTTCCTTCCATCTTTCATTCATTTTTCTTTCTTTCTTTCTTTCTATACATTGTTTATAATACTATTTTCCTTCCTTTCGTTCTTTTTTCTTTACATTGCTTATAATTCTAATTTTCTTTCTTTCTTTCTTTAGATTGTTTATAATTCTAATTTTCATTCCTTCCTTCCTTTCTTCATTCATTCATTCATTCATTCATTTATTCATTCATTTCTTTCTTTCTTTCTTTCTTTCTTTCTTTCTTTACATTGTTTATGATACAATTTTCATTCATTCATTTTTCCTTTTATTACATTGCTTATAATTCTA